TGCACCCCACCTCACCGCACTCACTCCATCCCCACTCCACACGCCACCTACACTCCACCCCACCTAACCTCATTACTGTATTTACTGTTTGATACATCGTGAGACCTTTTTCTTTTCTTTGAGACAAGGTCTAGCTGTGTCGCCAGGCTGGTGTGCCGTAGTGTGATCCTGGCTCACTGCAGTCTCGACCTCCTGAGCTCAAGCAGTCCTCCCACCTGGGCCTACCAAAGTGCTGGACTGCAGGCATGAGCTGCCATGCGTAGCACGATTTTAAGACTCAATTACATTATTTTCCTTTATTCTTTCACTCAGCCAAACACCTTGGAGTTGGCCTTGACCCTTTTCTTTCTATGTCAGCAAATCTTGCTGGCTCTGCTCTTTAGAATATATACAGAATCGGCCGGGCGCGGCGGCTCACGCCTGTCATCCCAGCACTTTGGGAGGCCGAGGCGGGTGGATCACGAGGTCAGGAGATCAAGACCATCCTGGCCAACATGGTGAAACCCTGTCTCTACTAAAAATACAAAAATTAGTTGGGCGTGGTGGTGCACACCTGTAGTCCTAGCTACTCAGGAGGCTGAGGCAAGAGGAGTGAGGTGAGATGGGGTGGAGTGAGGTGAGATGGGGTGGAGTGAGGTGAGTGGGGTGCGGTGGAGTGAGGTGGGGTGTGGGGGGAGAAGAGCAGGGTTGTTCAAGGGAGGAAGATCTGAGTTCAGTCCAGCTCTGCCACTCAATAAGTCTGTGATCTTGGGCAAAAGGTGCTTAGCCTCTCTGAGCTTTGGTTTATTTTTTCTCTATGATTGTAAAAGTATATACAGTACCTGATGTAGAACCTGGTGTGTAGTGTTTATTCAGTACATATTTGTTGAATGAATGAATGGTATTCAGTGCTATATATAAAAGCATATGTATGAAGAAAGATTGGAAGAAAATACAGCAAAATGATGAGTGGTTATATTGGGGGAAGAGAATGTGAGTGATTTTAAAATTTCCTATTTTCTGTTTGGTGGTATTATATTTCTAATTGAAATAATTACCTAAACTCATTCCTAATGTCTTTCTTTCTGGGCGTCTTACTGGTATTTACTGTTTGATAGATCGGTGAGACCTTTTGCTTTTCTTTGAGACAAGGTCTAGCTGTGTGCCAGGGCTGGGTGTGCCGTAGTGTGATCCTGGGCTCCACTGCAGTCTCGGACCTCCTGAGCTCAAGCAGTCCTCCCACCTGGGCCTACCAAAAGTGCTGGACTGCAGGCAGTGAGCTGCCATGCGTAGCACGATTTTAAGACTTCACATTACATTGAATTTTCCTTTATTGCTCAGCTCAGCCGAAACACCTTGGAGTTGCCTTGACCCTTTTCTTGCTGCTATGTCAGCAAATCTTGCTGGGCTCTGCTCTTTAGAATTATATACAGGAAACGGGCCCGGCGCGGCGGCGTCACCGCGCCTGTCATCCCAGACTTTGGCGACGGCGCGCGAAGGGGTGATCACGGTCGGCCAGAGGTCAAAGACCATCCTGGCCAAACATGGTGAAACCGCGTGTCTGTTAGGTATAGAAGCAGGCCCAAAAAAATTAGCTGTGGTATGGCACTGGTGACGCGGCTCCCTCAAGAGCTGAGGCAAGGATCGTGAAGCCGCAGGAGGTGGAAGCTCAGTGAGCCCGAGGATTGAGCCACTGCACGTGGCGCCAACCCCTGGGCACCCATGAGAGAAACTCCATCTCAAAAAAAAAAAAAAAAAAAAAGAATGATATCCAGATCCTTGACATGTCTCACCACTTCACGCTACCCATCCTGGCCCACGTCTCTCAAACCGGAGTACTGCGGGGCTTCCTGCCTCGGTCTCTTGCTTTCCACCCTTGTCGTAATAGCCAGGAGTGATGGAGTGATGATCAGGCAGACCCGGACATCACTTGTGCTGCCTGGAAAAACCTTCAGGCGCCTTCACATCTCATTCAGATAAAAGCCAAAATCCTTAAAGCACCTACAGGGCTTTTTTTTTTTTTTTTGAGAGGAGTTTTGCTGCTTGTTGCCCAAGGGCTGAGAGTGCAATGGCGCAATCTCGGCTCACTGCAACCTCCGCCTCCCAGATCCAAGCAATTCTCCTGCCTCAGCCTCCGGAGTAGCTGGGATGACAGTTATGCGCCACCACGCCCAGCTAATTTTGTATTTTTAGTAGAGACGGGGTTTCACCCCGTTGGCCAGGCTGGTCTCGACCTCCTGACCTCTGGTGATCCACCCGCCTCGGCCTCCCAAAGTGCTGGGAATACAGGTGTGAACCACTGCACCTGGCCAAGGCCTCTTGACAATGTATTCCTCACCTTCAGACGCATACCTTTCTGATCTTATTTCTTACTCTTTTGCACTTACTGTTCTCTCTGCCTGAAAACTCTGCAGTTGTTCATAAGGCTGGCTCCTTCCCTGCTTCAGGTATCTGCCCAAGTGTCACCTTACGGCAGAGGTAGGCCTGTCTCAGACCTCCGTATCAACCCGTTCTCCCCACCCACGCCCCACCCAGCATCCCTCATGTCCCTACCCTGTTTATTCCTTCCTCCATTTTTCATTTGCCTTACTATGTATTTTATCAAATATTACGAGCTTATATATCTTTCCCAATAAAAGCAGCTCTATAGAGGCAGGGATTTTTTTTTCTATTTTGTTCCTTGCCATAACCTTACCACATAGTAAGTACTAAGTAACTATTTATTGAATATATATATGAGTGTTTCATATATGTAAGTCATAGTCCAAAACTAGTTTGAAAGCTCTTTGAGAAAATGTCATGTTGGTTTTTATGCATTTCTTCCCACAACTCTGCAAGCATAGAATAAGGCAAGGTAGGCAGGGAACACTGCGGATAAGCAAACAGTATCTGTTGTGTTGGATTCACTGTGCCTCTCAGGCGAGGACTCTACCCCGAGGACTTGAGAGAGAGGCCGCTGCTGGAAATATTCTATCACCGTGATTGGAGTGGTTCCATGAGTATGTGCGTGTGTAAACACTTAATTAAGCTGTGTACTTAAGATCAGTGCACCTTTACCATATGTACATTATGCCTCAGAAAAAATGTTTACAAACACAATATATCCTTTGACATCTCCAGAGGAAGTTAAACATGCTAAATGATACATAAAGATAAGGAAAGAGTTCTTCATATGCTTGCTTATTAAGATTGCTAGTCTGGTTATTAGAATTTTTGTTTTCAAAGCTAAAGTAAAATAATTTTTATTTACTTTGTCTTTTGCAGAGATAATAGTAGCAGAATTTCACAAAAAAATCAAGGAAGCATTTGAAGTGTTTGACCATGAGTCGAATAATACAGTGGATGTGAGGTTTGGAAATATTTTTTTTTGGATACACTTCTAAATTACTGACACAAGTCATAAGATACAAGAGAGCTATTTTCTCTTCTTTTTACACTGTACCTTGGATTTATTATGCTGTTTTAAGTATTTATTTTCCATGCTCTGTAAAAGGTCTTTGCTAGCTATTGCTTTGATAAGTACTGTTTCTTATTCTTCATACTCTGGTAGAAAGAATATACTGTATTCTCATTGCCTGTTCCAACCTATAAATTGTAAACTGTGAGTGAGACGAACTGTATTTCAGTTTTAGTGCTTGGCGCATATTTGGCACTCAGGAAGTAGTCGAGTGAAGGAATGCCATTTGCTTTGTAAAACACATAAAGATGTATTATAAGGCCACGAATAGGATATTGCAAGGAAACATTAATAATGCCTATGCGATGGCACACTCCCCCTGTAAAATAGCAAAAAGAACCCAAACAGAAGAACATGAAACGACAAGAGAAGACATGAATACTGCTGGGTCTGAAATGGAGGACACAGCATGAGTCTGAAACAAAACAAACAAAAAACCCCTTAAAAGACAGAAGAGATTACACACGCTAATAAGAATTGTAGGGTTTGTGCCACACACATCAAAGAAAGGCAGTGAAGCTGGGTGCGGTGGCTCACACCTGTAATCCCAGTACTTTGGGAGGTCAAGGTGGGCAGATCACCTGAGGTCAGGAGTTCAAAACCAGCCTGAACAACATGATGAAACTCCATCTCTACTAAAAATACAAAAATTAGCCAGGCATGGTGGCGGGCGCCTGTAATCCCAGCTACTTTGGAGGCCGAGGCAGAAGAATCACTTGTACCCCGGAGGCAGAGGTTGCAGTGAGCCAAGATCACGCCACTGCACTCCAGCCTGGGCGATAGAGCGAGACTGTCTCCAAAAAAAAAAAAAAAAAAAAAGGCAATGAAACCATTCTTTAGGAGGCCAGGCTAAATGAGGGTTATTTGATGAGATTGCAATCTCAAGACCAGGACCTAGTAAAGAGGCCAGCACAGCAGTGGGAAGTGGTTTGAAAACGGCTCTGGAAAGGCACTGTTTGAGGCTTATAAACCAGTGCCATCAGAGGTGCAGCACCACATAGCTCTGGTGGCTCTGGTCACATTGCATTCTGTGGGAATGACACTGGAATACCAGGCCTTCCTGTGGGTACCCCAGTAGGAAATGAGTGAGTGGGGTGCTAGTGGTGGTGGTAGGGTTGGGGAGGGGGTGCAGCAGGCAGCCCTGGCCTGCAATTTGAATAACTAAGCACATGAATGACAAGTGCCTTGACCTCAGACCTCTCCTTGAAGGGTTCTCCTGGGGGCAGGGGACAGAGGTATTGTTAGAGAAGTCAGGGAAAGTATGGCGTTATGAGAGAGAGGGGAAAGAGAGAAAAGAAACCAGCATTTGCTTAAGGCTTGCCATCTAACACACTACCTGTAGTTGGGTGCTAGAGGCTTCATGTGGATTACCTCGTTTTAATCTTTTTATTTGTGGGTTAAGGGTTGGCATCTCCGGTTTCTGGAGACAAGGAGAAGGTAGATAGTTTGCTCCATGTCACACCAGGGTTTTTCTAACTCCGAGTCTCTTGCCATGCTACATGACCCACACTCCCACCCCTACCTACCCTTTAAAGACATCGGGGCTTCTCTTCTGCATTCAGGCTTCCTGACAGTAGCCGTGAAAAGAACATCTCTGGATCCTGAGAGCAACGAGGCCAGGCCTTTTATGGTAAAAGGGCCAATTCAGTAAAAGTAAACATGTTTATGGGCTGAATCTTTTTTCCACTGAAAGTTAAAATAACTTTACTGAGGCCCTGAGGGAAAGTAGATGTTCTTACAACTTAAAGGGTCTGCTTTATTAGTTAAAGATGGTTACTACGAACATTGTTATTGTTTTTAGCATTAAAATATTGATGCTGAGTTTATTTGAGGAGGGACAACATGAATGAATGTAGCTTCCTGATCATTATTCCTGTGTTAATTTGTATAGCACTTTAAAGTTTATAATGAATGTTCTCATGCTGCTGGTATCATTACCATCCACTCTTTTTTAAAAATTCGTTTAAAGATAGGGTCTTACTCTGTCCTCCAGGCTGGATTACAGTGGCTTGATCATAACTCAGCGTGTGTGACCTCGAACTCCTGAAGTGATCCTCCTGCCTCAGCCTCCCAAGCAGCTAGGACTATAGGCACTCGCCACCACGCCCAGCTAATTATTATTTCTTGTAGTGACAGGGGTGTTGCTACGTTGCCCAGGCTGGTCTTGAACTCCTGGCCTCAAGTGATAGGCCCTCCTCAGTCTCCCAAAGTGTTAGTATTACAGGTGTGAGCCACTGCACTTGGCCACTCTTTATAAATTGGAAACTAAGCTTTGGGAGGCTGAGGCAGGTGGATCACCTGAGGTCAGGAATTTGAGACCAGCCTGCCCAACATGGTGAACCCTCATCTCTCCTAAAAATAAAAAAAGTAAAAAAAAAAAAAAAAAAAAATTAGCTGGGTGTGGTGGCGGGCGCCTGTAGTCCCAGCTGCCTGGGAGGCTGAGGCTTTAGAATCTCTTTAACCTGGGGGGTGGAGATTGCAGTGAACTGAGATTGCGTCACTGTGCTCTAGTCTGGGCAACAGAGCGAGACTCCATCTCAACAAAGCAAACAAACAAAAAAGAAAATGTAAGGATGGAGAAGCCAAAAGACTTGCCCAAGATCACACAATAGGTTAGCAATGAAGTTGGAACTCAAGTTCGCGTCTTCTTTGGGGCAGCGCTTTCCAGTTTGTGTACCCCCCAGGGGCGGCTCTGAGAATGCAGGATGAGTGAGGTCTGGCCCTGCCTTTCCCAGCGCATTTTCTCGGTTTGTAAAAGCGGTTCATCTATCGAGAATGTATTTCGGCTGATTAAAGCGAAGGTCTAAATAGACTTTTTTTTTTTCCAAGTTACCAATTTATTCTACTTACTTCTGGAATTGTTAGGCCTTCTTTATAATATGCAACATTTTATAGAAGGGGTCTAATTTGGCACATATCTTATGTGCTGTACCACTTTACCTTCAATGCTCTATTAACTGTTGTCAGTTTATAAAATGATTTAATGTCTGATAGTTTAATATCCTTCTTTTTAAACATTTTAATTAAGGATCGAAGGCAGTATTCTGTGTAAGAACTGAGGAAAGTACATAAAAAAGAATGAAATCCTGTCATTTGTGGCAACCTGAGTGAGCCTGGAGACATTATGTTAACCAAAATAAGTCAGGCACGGAAAGAGAAATGCCGCATGATCTCGCTCCTATGTGGGAGCTAAAAACAAACAAACAAACAAACAAACAAAAAAACTGAGTTCCTGGAAGTAGAGAGTAGAGCTGTGTGTCAGAGGAGAGGAAATACGGGGAGAGGGACTGGGGAGGCTGGTTAATGGATGCAGAATTACAGCTGGATTGGTGGAAGGAGTTCTATTGTTCTGCCGCAGTAGAGGGTGACTCTGGTTAACTCTCATTTATTTTCCAAAAATACAAGAGAGGATTTTGAATGTTCACAAGGAAATGATCAATGTTTTAGGTGGTGGAGATGCCAGTTACCCTGATTTGATCATTACACTTTGTATAAAGCATTGACGTATCACTCTGTATATCTCAGAAATCTGTACAATTATTATTTGTCAACTAAAAATAAAAGGGAAAAAGCAAGGATTGAGTGGTGTAAAGAAGTGTTTTTCAGGCCAGGTGCAGTGCCTCACGCCTATAATCCCAGCACTTTGGGAGGCCAAAGTAAGGGAGGAGACCACCTCTCATATCGTCTTATGCCCAGTTTCTGCCTCCAAAGAAAGAAGTAGTAAAAACTAAAAGGCAGAAATGAAATCCACAGGCAGACAGCCCGACGCCGCACCCTGGGCCTGGTAGTTAAAGATCGACCCCTGACCTAATCGGTTCTGTTATCTATAGATTACAGACATTGTATGGAAATACACTGTGAAAAATCCCTATCTTGTTTTATTCTGATCTAAGATCTAATTACCGGTGCATGCAGCCCCCAGTCACGTACCCTCTGCTTGTTCAATCAATCACGACCCTCTCACGTGAACCCCCTGAGAGTTGTGAGCTCTTAAAAGGGACAGGAGTTGCCCACTCGGAGAGCTCAGCTCTTGAGACAGGAGTCTTGCTGATGCCCCCGGCCAAATAAACCCCTTCCTTCTTTAACTCGATGTCTGAGGAGTTTTGTCTGCCGCCCATCCTGCTACAGAAGCAGGTGGATCACCGGAGGTCAGGAGTTCGAGACCAGCCTGGCCAACATGGTGAAACCCCATCTCTACTAAAAATACACAGATTAGCCAGGCATGGTGGCGTGTGCCTGTAATTCCAGCTACCAGGGAGGCTGAGGCAGAAGAATCACTTGAACCCAGAAGGCAGAGGTTGCGGTGAGCCAAGATCACACCATTGCACTCCAGCCTGGGTGACAGAGTGAGACTCCGTCAAAAAAAAAGAAAGAAAGGAAGAAGTGTCTTTGAATGGAGGGAGAGATATATAATGACTCAGTGGGGGCAGGACAGAGAGCCGTTCCTGGAGAGCCCCCCAGGCACTGGCTGTGCCTCCCCTAGCTGCTTTATCCCTCAGGTGGAGATTTGGTGTTACTTCCTGTGTAGGGCTGATCTAGGCCCCCTTGAGAGGTCTAGGTCTAGAGTTTTGTGGTGGCTACTCTCCCTTTCCCTTATCTCTATTTTGCACAAATTGGAATATTTAATTTGAAATTTTATCGCATCAGATAAAGGGAAAGTCTGGTATTGCAAATGCTGGGCAGCCACCAGCCCACTGTCAAAACCTTTATGAGCTAGGCCCCTACTACTGCCCTTCTGCCTCTAGGGGCCAGTCCTGAGGTCTGGAATCAGACTTCCTGGCTTCCCATCCCAGCTCCGTGACTGCGAGTCATTTCGTTATTCTCTTTGTGCCTCAGTGTACATTTGCCTCAGAGGTTTCATAGTACAAGTAAGTAGTTCTCAGAGTGCTCCC